TAAGAATGATGAGTAAGAAACACGAGTAATGAACATGATTAAGAAACATGAGTAAGAATGATGAGTAAGAAACACGAGTAATGAACATGATTAAGAAACATGAGTAAGAATGATAAGTAAGAAACATGAGTAATGAACATGATTAAGAAACATGAGTAAGAAGCATGATTAAGAAAGATGAGTAATGAACATGAGTAAAAAACATGAGTAAGAAACATGAGCAATGAACATGAGTAAGAAACATGAGTAAAAAACACGAGTAAGAAACATGAGCAATGAACATGAGTAAGAAACACGATAAGAAACATGATTAAGAAACATGAGTAAGAAACATGAGTAAAAAACATGAGTAAGAAACATGAGCAATGAACATGAGTAAGAAACATGAGTAAGAAGCATGATTAAGAAAGATGAGTAAGAAAGATGTATCTCATGTTCCTAATAGCCTGGCAGTGAGAGATGGCGCAGCCGCAGCCGTGATCCGACCAAGGAAGGCGAGGGCGCCGAGGTAACGACCCTCTAACGCTGAGGGCTTGTCTTGCCTTTTGTTGAAGTCTTAGACGCATCTTCGCTGGCCATGCATGGCTTGCAGATAACGATATATTTGCCTGACCAGCGTTTCTTTTCAGCTAACTTACATTAAATGCTCGTTGATCTATCTGACTAACTGAACTAAAACAAACTTGACAGACAAACTTCGATGAATTTTCGTCCTTACTCCACGTGCGGGAAATTATTGTTATAATATATATCATAAAATATATATGTCGTTATAAATATTATATTGTAATAACGCTTAACTAACACCAGTCTAGGAATTGTCCTGGTCAATGAGAGGAAATGAGACTTGTTGCCATTGGAAGTCACACCCGAGGTCGAGTTTCAGGAGCCTTTGCCTTTAAGTTGTTCATGCCGCTACAGTCGCAGCCCCGGGCCTATACTTTCAAAAAAAGTTAAGAGATCGTAAGTTCATCAGCCAATCATTGACGGTCATTCAAGCAAAATCCACCAATCATAAACAAGAAAATAGAGCGTAAGTACTTACGTTAACTTAGCGAGTTTTGAAAGTATGGCCCCTGGACATTGGACAATATTCCTGCAGCGGCATAGGGCCATCAATTTCGGTATTTTTTATCCATCTTCATTATACTCTCTGCATGAAAATAACATCAAATTCTCAGGAACTTTATACTCTGAGGAAACGAAAGAGTTGCTGGAACGCCCGGTGATGTGATTGCGTAGATTGACTACATTGAGATTACAGTTTTTATCTTGAAGGTTTTGAAATTATCTTGTTTACAATTACTCTATTTAAGTAAATCATCGGGTCAATGCTGTACCTGAGTTGCATTAATGTTAACAATAAATGACTGAGCTCTAAAAATAATGAATATTATTGAATAATTGATACATTCGAAACGTTGTTAACGAAATAAAAATGTCCATCCGTATCCTGATTTTCAGCTTACCAGTGCAAACAAAAAATATTTATCGGTATATTGAAAAACTAATAAGAATATTGCAAATAAAACAAATTCTCTGGTCTTCAATGACCTGCTTAAAGAACAAATTTTACCAACTTATACTAATTTCTTTAACATTTCTAGCGGCATCATGCTCATATTCAATGATGTGTTACCTGAACTTCGATAAAAAAATTATTATTATTATTATTATTATTATTGATTTTGAGTGCGTATAAGTTCAAGTATTGAATATCTAGTGCTTCATTCATGAAGAGTAATACTACAACAAATGGTAAAATTACGAAACTCCAAAGCTTATTTTTTTTCAATGAGGATTGGTCGACATGTTGGTATTGATGTAGGTGGAGTATCACATGGCGAATTCGAGGCCGTGTTCACGCCATGTTCTTAATGTTTTGTTCATATTCTCAATGCCAGCAATGAACTAATTTTATAGCAAAGTCGCGAACTCAGAAACCAACGGCCAAAGTTAATCCAGCAGTTCAATAGGAGAACTGATAAGCTGGTAAGCCTCTAATCAAATTCGTGAAGCGTATATGTTCAAGTTAACTTGTTTCATTATTTTTTTCAATTTGACAAAGACTTCTCTGGTAAAGACCAACTGGGCCTATCTGTGCTTTGCACACCACTGACTGATGTAGGATGAATTTATGTATCGTATGGTGCGTTAGAAATAATCGTTTATTCATTGCACCCATATATTTTTCATCCAATTTATTATGGTGGCAAGATCTCTACGAGGCGATTGAAAACTTGCTGTTGATTTTTTGAAATTCAGTTTGATTAAATTTTGCATGGACCTTACATTGGACACCTCTATTGCCCACCAGACATCTGACGTTGAATTTATGGTTTTTCGATGAATCAAATTGAGTATTATTGTTTCGACGTCATTTGCCTGTTGGGAGGCCATTAGCATGTTTTTAAAAAATGTGTGCAACTTTATTTTCTTTCTACCTAGCGAATGCAAATGTACATAGTTTACATGCTGCATATCGTATAGGCATACTTTTGATTTGCGTAGAGAAAAACAGTAATTAAACCTTTTTTCCTCTGCAACAAAAATGTCTGGTCAAAATCGACATCGTAACATGGAAATATTTTGGCTAATTTGCAGCAGGAAATTATGATAACTGCATTGCATTTATACAATATAAATCTCATTCATTGCAGCATAATAATTATTATTGTCATTATTGAGGCTAACCCAACATAGACGTGTCTTGAAGTCAAGTTGGTTGGGCAATTGCAAACTAGCTTGTCCTAAATTACGCAGCTGAATAATTTGCATGCTTATTTATAATCAGTTGATGGCTTGACTTGTTTGAAGAGTTACCCTGCCTAGTTGAATGCTTACTCATTTTACCCTGAATTGCATGGGAGGCTAGATTTGCATGCCGTCGCGTTGATATTATAAGCTTCTTGTAAACATGCTTGAAAAGTTTTGCCTTGAAAAATTGTATTGTCCCGAGTTCTTATATTCACCACCCAAAGAGCTCCTGACGCTTATTGATAATATTGTTTCTGCTGGCTATTTAGTTGCAGAAGAGTAAGTCATGATGGGAGAAATTGCTCATTTTAATCTTATGCTGTTGTTTAAGAGAAAGTTATTTATTGGCTTTTTAGCGCATTTTCTCATTTATGAAAAAAAAGAGCTATTGTGCTCGTCATGTCCGTCCGTAACGTCCGTCCGTGACTTCACGTCACGGACGGACGAGAAAATGCGCACTCTTTCAGTCACTGCAGTCAGTACTGAGTTACGTATATTTTTTATGAAAAAGCTAAAACTATGTTCCGTGAATTTAATTTCAATTTTTCTTACAGCAAAATAGCCGACTTGCATCTGCAGGGTTTCAGTTTTCTCAATCT